GTCGAAGGATTTTAACCATTTTTCGACAAACATTGCCTGGAATTTCCGCCAGGCAGAAATACCCGTTTCGAATTATGCAAATCGAGAACACTCGTCAGGAACGTTCGAGATATTCGCGCGTTAATCCACGCCGGCTCTTCCTGTTTCTCTCGATGGACGTACACGTCCCGTTATTTCGACAGGCGTTGGCAAAAATCCGAAGGAATTCGCACGCTCGATAACGCGACGTGTGTCTAACGCGCTCGATCCATGCTAATTTCGTGGACAATCGGCGAGGTAGTCTGGGTCGCGGCCAGGTGCCGATAGAAATTTCCAGAGTCGAGATCCTTGGACGAGACGGCTCGTCCTTGCGAATTCGCGAAATTACGCGGAGTCGCGAGTATGGAAATTAGCTCAATTGCGCCGACCGGCTCGGGTTTCAGAAAAAATCCAGCAAGCCTCGCGGTTTGCGTTTTCCGTCTTCCTTTTGCACTGCCACTTTCCATTCCACGTCTTTTTCTCCGCGCTTTTTGTCACTTTACGGCGGCTGTCGCATTCCATTCGCCATTTTATTTAAGCCAGAGCGAACCATAAAACGCCCGGCTCGTTATTTCCGGAAGAACTGACGAGAGAGATTAATCCTTTCCCTTGTTATTTATTCCGCGTTGGGTATCAGTTTTCGGCTGTATCTTATTTCTTGTAGTTTCGAAAAAATTTTATGCGAAGTATATTCGCCTGCCGATTTTTTCGCAGAAATTTTACGTCTGGTTGTATACAACAAATTTTTTAAATTATTTATTTTATTGGTTAATCTACTAGTATATGTATCGTAGTATACATACGCTAAATTTCGCATGAATTGGTCACCTAGTTTTTCAGATATATTTCCTGTCATTTTGGAAAATGTGGTTTCGAGAAAATCGCGTTTATTTACACGCATTGAACATGCTGTAGGGTCATTAATATTTCAAAGATTAGGTTGAAAATTTGGAAACATATTCTAAAAATGTTTATCTATTCTTAAGACAAGAAAAATAAAATCGAGTTCCTTCCTGTCCACACCAGAGTCCCTCCTTAAGAGTTAGAAATAGAAAAGTGGCTTTCCGAGTGAAAAATGTTTGCCATCGACATTTCCTACTAGCAGTCCTACCTAGGTGATCCGGAAATTAGAACTACATAATAATTTCCTAAACATGTGGAGCTATACTAGAAGCACGATTACACATGGTGCGACTCAGAACAATCTGATAAATTGCACATTTTCGTATCAAGGTGATTGGCTAAAATTTGCAAGCTATACATCTCTCGACGAATCTAATCGTTGGTAGTTAATTTCGTTTTTTATCTCAAGCCTTTAAAATTATTTTTGCACTTCCACGTGGACTCGTAATGAAGCCTTGAAGCATCTTGCATATTATAGCGTGAGACGCAGATCCGTAAGTTTTTTCCTCCTCCATTTTCACGCTAATATGAATACCCACTGACGTATTGAATCTTAATAACCATTCCGTGTCTTTGGAACCAGCCGACGACAAATATTTTCATTTCAATGCGACAGTTAACCTTGGTCATTTGAATAATTCTCGAATTAATGTTAAACGAAATTAATGTAATTAATGCCAAAAGTTATTTACTCCACTCGCGTCGTTCTTATTTATCGACCTTCTGTTAATTTAAATTCTCCACTAATTCCGCTCGAAAAAATAAAAGCTTCCAAAGACAGGACGCTTTACGTAACTAATCGCATTTAACCCTTCAAGGATATTTTGATATAAATTTTCCGAACGAATCAACGTTAAATGAAACACGTAAAAGTTGCAAAATTAGTTAAAAGACTATTTCTACCTCTAGATTATGTTTACCTCGTATACTGTAACAGATCTGGAAATATTTTTACAAGTAAGCTCATTGTCAGGTGTCGCGAGGTATGTTACGTGGATATCCAGTTGAAAGAGCGAAACGAAGGAAAAGAATGGAAAAGGAGGAAAGCCTCTTGGTCTTGCACGCAATTTATCAGCACCATTAAAATACCCCATGGCAGTTATAAGCGCGATTACACGAGCGCTGGAGCTGCTAGCAGCACTGTGCGATTGTCGAACGTCAACAGACTGGTAGCACTCGCTATACAGGGCATAGTGGAACGGCCAGCGTGTCGTAGACGAAATTATTCGCCCATTGACACCGATATTGGGCAATTATCAACATTCGTGCTGCTCGATGGAGCGTGCATCCGAGTGCACTGCTCGAGATCATGCAATCAGTGTATCGCGAGAGCGAGTGGGGTGCAGCTGGGTGGTATCCGCGTGAAATTGGCATCGACGGTTTCCGGTTTTCTTTTCTCCATCCACCGGCGACGTCGCGTATTTCTCCGAGTCCCACCTTCGAGACGATAATGCATTTTCCGATTTTTCAGCCTGGACCACCCTCTCGTTTGCTCTTCTTCCCTTTCGCCCGGCCACCCTCTTGCTCGCACTTTCCCACGAATTTCCAGCAGGCTAGAAAATCTCGGCGCGACCGCCGAGCCTTGGGAAATTGAATTTAGTGCGCCGCTGGTGAAATGGAATTCAATTATTAGTAATACGGTCGAGCCGCGATTGAAAAAGAACGATAGAGCCTGGGCGAAAGAGCGGCAGACGTGGAAAGGGTTCGGCCGAGACTGGATAATAGAAGCGGAACAGTGAATGCGAACCGACGAAAATTCGTCGTGTAAAATTAATCGCGGATTTAATTACCGGTTTCCCTCTAATTAAGCCCGATAAATGATCCCGACCGAGAGGACCGTCCCCATCGAGTTATTGTGCGACCACGCGAAATCTTCCGTGGATCCTTGGAAAATTTTCGAGTGCCGGATCACCGTGTCGATCGATTTTTGACGCGGGATACTATTTTCCTTCGATTTTCACGGAAAACGGGGGAAATCGGCGCGGTGGGGGTTGAAGGAGATAACGGAAAGGGGTGAAAGGCGCGGTTCAGGAGAGCGGAGAATGATTTAATCGGACGTGAAGAGAAGTTGATAATTAACAAGTCCCTACGGCTCGTCGACAATGCTTAACGTTGGAAACAAAAGCGCTGCCGGTGTACCTAGCTGTTCATGATCTTCCTACGCTAAACGAACTTCCGGGTGGCTTGTTCGCTTTTGCGCGCGCCTTCAGCGCCAACCGTCGACCACTTTGGAGGCACCGTTACGGCGTAAGCAGCTGTAGTGAATTTCCTTATCGACTTCGTAAAAGAAGAATCGCATTCTGCGGAAAAAGGACCCTTCCGTCTTTTAACCCCTGTTGCGGAGAGACGGGGTCAATCGGGAATTCCGACTCGAGATTTTCTCCCGACCGCAGATAGCTGTTAGAGATACCAGTACCGGTATCCTCTTCGTATCCTCTATTGATAATTTTGATAAGCGAGGATGTGCATGTGGACGATCAACTCTGTTCTCTGAATTTCGATGAATTTTCGCAGTAACTACCTCTTGTGGATTTAATCTATTCGAACGATTGTCGAGGATTAAAAATTTGTGGAATATTTTTCAAGAGCCGTGGTCGCATGTATTTTGGTTATTAGAAGCGAGGTGGTAAATGAGCATTTCTGACGACGAAAATTCACAGATTCGATGCAAATATCGCTCTTAAAAGAAGCGACGACGATGTAAATTAGCATGGGAGTGAAAAATTCACGGGGCTCTTTAAAACCTACTCGAAGAATGTACAATAGATTGTGTCTCGGTTTGGAAATCACGCGAGGGTTGAAGGGGACCGAGCAAGCTAGCGATATATTGAAATTAGTAAACACCGACTTAACTGCTTCGTCTACGACATCCTGCAAAACGTAAATACCATGGACGAGAGGCGTGGTTTTGTAGACAGGATCCAATGTAAACAGTGTACTGGTCAGGTTCTCGGTTAAATTTTGCCGATGTCTTTCTGCCTCAGTTGCGTGTTATTCTTGGACGCGTTTGGACGAAATGGCTCGATGTGTGACCGACTCTGCTGTTGATTGTGGCACGCGCCATCGGTAAGAGGTTAAAATAAGTCTAATGTGTCGCTTGGAATATTCATATTATTGGTTAGATTCTAAACGTATTAACACATTGCGTGCCACTCGCGAGTTTTCTCTTTTTCACTCGTCATCTTCCTCGACCCTTTCGCTACTACGGGTGACTATAGTCACCGGGGATGAGAATTGAACCAAAAATTAAGACACGTGCCCTTATTCCGTTTCGCTCCCTTCGCAAAGAATTTCAAGCGCCATTGCGGTGATCGGTTTTTTTTACTTTTTTTTTTTTTTTTTTTTTTTTTTTTTTTTTTTTTTTTTTTTTTTTTTTTTTTTTTTTTTTTTTTTTTTTTTTTTTTTTTTTTTTTTTTTTTTTTTTTTTTTTTTTTTTTTTTTTTTTTTTTTTTTTTTTTTTTTTTTATCAAAAGCCTTGGTTCCAAATGCTAAAGACGCTTCGCTATATGGGAGGGACTCTGCGACGATGCCCATCGTAGCAAACGGGTTAAGGACTTTAGATGTCAACACACTGTCTTGTTAAAACGGTCCCTGACGTATGTTTTAGAAATTTCTATGCGGTACGCAATGTGTTAACGTAGAAGTCTAACGAAAAATATGCTGCATATAAACCTACGCGATCACCCATGCAAAGGGTAACCGATTATCGAACCACGAAAAGGTATCATAACTCGGACCCAAACCAGCGACGAACAGCGGGAAATTACACGCTCCGCTCCTTTCCAACGCGTATTCCTTCGATCGGAAACAATCTGCTCATAGAATGATCCTCATTCCACCTCGCGATCTTCCAACGCTGAAACTTGCACGATCCCTAATTGGTCCCGGTTCCTCTCCTCCCACAGCATCGTCCGCGATGAAACAAAAAACGAGGTAGAAAAATGGGAATAAGCATTGCATAAAAATGCAGACCGAGTGATCGACTCCCACCCGAGACCCAGCCCCTAGAGCCAACAATGCTGTGGCCGAACGTGCGGTATTATTATAATAAATGGTTGCGTGTTACTTGTCTGTTGCAGAAAAATTGCTGAACAGCGAGGGCCGCGAGCTACGACGGGCTCTCTTCTCCCTCAAGCAGATCTTTCAGGTGAGTTTACAATTCGCGATACCTGCGGGAACGCGGCCAGAAAGGAAGACAGGGTAGGGACACTGGGGCGGAAGCGAGAGGTCGATAGGAAGGGTATCGCGGCACGAAGGACGACGGAAGATGGAAGAAGCAGACAGAGAGAGACGTGGAGAGACGTAGAGAGAAAGACAGAGAAAGGGATACTTAGACAGAGACCCACGGAAAGACAGTGGAAGGTGTACATAGATAGGGAGACAGACAGAGAAGGAGATAACTAGATAGACAAACAGACAGAGAAAGCGATACGTAGATAGAAAGAGATGGAGACAAACACTGAGGGACAAAGATAGATAGACACGGAGAGAAGGGTAGACGGAAAGAGACACAAAGACAGAGATAGACATAGAAACTGAGGAGCATGTACTCGTAGGTAGAGAAGGACGGAATGACGGGTAGAAAGAGGCGGACAAGGGCTATTTTTACGCGAAGCTACTCGCTCGACGAGTAAATATTTGCATGGCGGTTTGAGCGAGTGCATTCTCTCCTACCCTCTCTGTCGTCCTCCCCCTCGTGGCCACCTCCGCTTTCTATTCCTCCCGTCTCGATAACCGGCGGCCCTTTGTCTCGCAAATTCGTTATTCCTCCGTACGGGACATGCACACGCCGCATTCCGACACCCCCCGCCCGCCCCCCTCTCGAATATTCGCGTGCTCCGCGTAATTAGTCGCGTAATTAGGAAGTGCGTGCGAGCAAGATTGCCGGGTAGCCGGAGAAGCGAAAGCCATTCTCTTTCGGGGCGTGAAATATTTACGACGAGCACTCGCTCGCGAGTCGATCCCGGCGTTTCGCCTCGGCTCCATGGAAATTTCATCGGGCACGCCTTAACCGGCGCGCTCGGGAAAGACGCGATCCGCTGGCGTTTAATTACAGGCAGCCCCGTGTCGATGATTTATCGAGTTTTCATTTATCATGTACCAAACGGCACATAACTGCAGGTATCCGGGCCGAATCGATGGATCCGATGGAATACAACGGAACACTGGTACCGATTTTTCCTCTTTCCTTTTCCCCAAGCATCCAATGTCTCCCGAGGTCGCCCGTGCTCGAATGTTCCTCAAAATTAAACGGGAATTTGATGTCTCTTTTGTATTATATAAAACTACGAAATTACGAGAAAATTATTAAATTTAATCCATTCGTTGGTATGCGTCAGAAGGTGTTAGGTTAGGTATACTCGTCGTCGGTCCACCATCGGAGTCCCATTTCAATCCTAATAGGTTTTAACTGAGAAATTTAGTTTTATTGACATTTTTCGACTAATCGTGGTGAGCTAATTTTTATGCATAAATAAGAGAGGAAAATCCTATTGGATTGTTATACAGGTTGAACAAGTTTGAACATCGTTAGTGTATAGCGAGCATCAAGCGTTGGATGACTATGGTTAGTACTGGTGGTAAGAAGTTTGGAAATAAATTAGTAGGAAAAGAGAATTCGTTGTCCCGATGGGAGCCTGGAATTTTGTTAATTAATCGAGGTACCGCCGAATCGATTGTAATGGAAGGGGAACCGGACTGTTGTTCTTCGGGATCCTGAATTCGTGTTTGAGCGTGGGTCGTTTCAACTTCCCCGACGCTCCTTCTTCCGTTTCCGGAACAAGAAGGGCAAACTGAACTCGGCCGGAGCGTGTTTATTCGAGTCGGAGTTTTCTTAACTCCGTTCGCCGTAATTAAATCTCGCAATTAGCCGAGCAGCAACGGAATTTTTCTTCGTGGCTGCGAGCCGGAAGGCCGTTCGTTAAAAGGAATCCCATTACACCGGAAGCTATCACTCCTTGCCCGTAAATGATGGATGAGTGTATCGTTGGATATTAGAATCGTGATGAATGGAACGACTGTCAAGCGTGTGGTCGACAAGGTGTCGTTAGAGGCTATCGTGATTGTTTTATCGATCACGCTCTTCGATTTCATTTAAATTCTATTTTTCGCGCTTTCAGAGTCACCTCGCGACCACGTAACACGACGCAATAATGGGATTAATTGACAAACTGGCAGGTTGAGTTCGTTCGCGTCGATAACATTACATTTTATCGGTGTCAATTTTGCCGAAATATTATAACGACGACGATAGTCGATATTATTACGTATCCATTAAGTCCTACATTTATTGAATTATCGAGAAGAATGTTGTATGCGCGTTGAATAACGAATGCGCCGATAAACTGAACCAAATTATACTGTAGGCTGGCTAACAAGTGTAAAAAGACCTGCGATGACAGGACTTTGACTGCGAGTTTATCGTATTCGTCGTGAAAAGGATTGACAAGATAGTGCGAAATTAAATAATCGATAGGAGTGTCTAGTCTGTTTCTCGTGGTCGCATCGATTCTGCAAGATTGAAAGGAATAACGGCTTTATCTGTAGTGGAAGCACCGTTTCATATTAGATCCTTTTCTGTCAAAAATCAGGAATAACTCGAATAGAGAGAGCTTCAAAAGATCCTCCTTCTAAGTAAAGATACCAATTCCATATGAACTTTGACGTTTCAGTCATAGGCTACCGATAAGTATTCGAATATTTCTATTTATTAAAAATTGAAGATTTATCAAAAAGTGGAGTTATTCGATTTGTGCAGTGAACGGCTCATATAACATATCCAATTCTCTCTTTATACCTGGAATACCTAGCCTAAGCCTAGACAAAGTTTGTCTAGGACGAAATCTCATAAAATATTTTCCGAAGCCAAACGTTTCTTATGGAAAGGAATTTTTATACATCCTTTGTTAAATTAATGCCTAGAAATCCCCGAAAATTTGAGGATAAATATTTCAAATAATATATTGTGTATCCATCTTCTCCGAAATGTTCAGTTATCTCTGCTCGTAAATAAAAGACGACAGAAGTCGCCTTGAAATGACAGGCATCTGAAAGTTTACACGCCCTACGTCCAAAAGGCCTAACTTTAATCAAGGCAAGAGCCTGCCCTTGGACCAGGTCTTACGAAATACCTCCTAAAGGCAAACGTTTAATTATACAATAGGATTACCACATCGTGAAAGATAAATTTGAGCACTCGAAGTCTGACGTGCTGACACAAGAGGTGCCTAACATCCATCCTTCGAACTCTTCCTTTCAGCGAGACCTTATCGTTTCAATTATCAGTTTGGCTAGTTACGAAATTAATTACAATGCTCCGTCCTTCATCGAGATGGTTCCTCATCGAACAAGATCTGCTCCTCGGTCCAAGGATTCATCTTCTGAAATCGCTAACGTCCAATTCCGTTTCTTGATCTTGGCTAATCTGATCCGCGAGTTCGATGGACGCTCAGCTTCCACGGCTAGAAGAAGCTTTGGTCTGAAACATGGTCAGGAACAACTGGGTCCTGACAAGTTCACGGAACGATCCTCGTGCAAAAGAAAACGCTAGTGTAAGGGGTTTAATTAAATTTTGTTTCTTCTTGTTTTCCTTTTTTGGTTTTATTTATAGGTTAGTATTGTTCCGTTGGCTTTTTCGTTTTGGGATTTTAGTGCTGGAGCATTCGGCTGTCAGCATGACGGATCATGGTTTGGGTGATTAAGTGGCACGGCAGTGAAGGCACGGAATGGAAGACAGAGCAAAATTTTAATGATTACGAGATTATGACGAATGTGTGTTTTGGAAATTAATTTTGGGAGTTATAATGGAATTAAATTGAGGTTATAAAACAGTGTTTCTAAAATAGGGGATTGAAATAGGAGAAACGGAATGAGCACGAGCTCGGGCTAATTAGATGCAAGACGTAAACGAAGAGAGGAAAAACTAGCATTTCCATATATTTCCATTAAAACGTTGCTTCCTATAGTGTTTTCTCACGACGTACCTCACGTTGCATTTTCGACTTTACTCCGTTTAGGAACTTCTATTTAAAAAAGAATACCAATTATACAATGGTGTTTCAAAAACGTTTAATACTCATTTTCTTCTCCAGCATCTCATTTGCCTACCTCGTATTCGAGTAAATAAATTAATTTAAATTTCTATTCCTGTTTTTCCGAAAACTTTTGGTCAAATAAAATACCAAATAATATCTAATACTTATTTTCTTCTTCAGCATCTTATTTACGTAATTCATATTCAAGTAAATAAATTAATTTAAATTCGTATTCCTACTTTTCTTCGAGGACTTTTGGTCAAATAAAATACCAAATAATATCTAATACTTATTTTCTTCTTCAGCATCTTATTTACGTAATTCATATTCAAGTAAATAAATAAATTTAAATTCGTGTTCCTCTTTTCTTCGAAGAATCCTTGTCAAATAAAATACCAGATAATATTCCAAAAAGTATCTAATACCTACTAACTTTCTTCGCCAACCTCTTATTTACATAATTCCCATTCGTTTACATTTTATTGGTTTCGCGTTTACGAATCTCTACCGAATAATATTCCAAAATGGTATTTAACAGTAATCTTCCCATCCAACGTCTTGTTCACACATATTCGTATTCACGCAAATAAAGTCATTTGATCCCGTCTCGAAAGCATTCACTACTAAATACGGCGCTACCTGATAGATTATTCTTATCCGACCCAGTATCGTAAATCAAGCCACGGAACGTTTTAACGTTTCCCAAAAGCCTGCCATAAATTCGGAGGCTCCGAACCGTCGATTAGGTTCGTTCGAGGTTGAATAAATTAGACATAAGCGATGATCACGGGTATAACGGGCATCTATTCCTCTGTTGGACGCTATTTACCATAAACTTTGCTTTTGCAGGAGGACAAGGACCTGGTGCACGAGTTTGTGCAAAATGACGGGCTTGCTTGCCTCATCAAGGTTGGCAGCGAGGCCGACCAGAATTACCAAAATTACATACTACGAGGTGAGTATCCTGACAATTTGTCGATAGACCTGCAGCGTGTTTTTGCGCACAGCGTTGCTTAGGCTTCTAATAGCGTATGGTGGTTCTTTCGCGTATCACCCGAGGTATATTTTTCGCGGCAACTCGAGTCCACTGCGGTCATAAATATTTACGAGGCAAGAAAAGCAATTTTTTCTACAAATTGTTTCAGGCTGCCACGTCTTAGCCTTGATCAGGTCTAAGCTCCGTTTCTTCTTCTTTTTTTTTTTTGTGAAATTAGAGGTACCTAACCTAACCCAGTGAGTTTCATGTTCTGTTTGCACGTGTAGCGTGTTCCGGGAAATCGAGATGCAAGATGGAGTCGGTTCGGTACCGAACAGCTATTTGGGTACTCTTACTATGTCTGAAATCGTCGGAGATATGTTAGAGAAATCGTGGTCTGTGGAATATTTCTTTCGCCCATGTACCGTGGATTATAGTCCTAATTCTCGGAATTTTCTCCACAGTTTTCTCTCCAGGTGACCGTAGTTTCTCTAAAGAAGAATTTTGAAATCGTTCTGAACACGTGTTATATTAAATACAGGTAAAAGTCGAGACATATTAGATTTGCGAATTTATTCATTTTTCGCGTGACAAGTTTCTTTGGCAACGAATACCTTTATAGGCAAGAATATAAAGTTTCTGTTATAAAAATAGCACTCGTTTGAAGTCAAAAATTGAAACGATCACCTCTGTGTAAATGACTCATTGTACATACAGTCTTCCTTAAAGAATGGCCGCCATTGATGAAAAATTTGAAGTTATCGCGAATCGCGAGAAACGAATGAATTTTCGCAAGTACAAAATTTAATTTCATCTCATAGCGAATCATTGATCATCAAAGTAATTTCAGACGATGTACTAGGTACTGTAAGCTTCGCGTAAAAATTTGATCGTTGTCGGATATCCTATTCGAGTTGATCTATCACGTCCTTTGCTGCTGCCGAATGCACTTGCGAGTTCATCTTTCTTCTATCGGGCCAAATTTCGCAAAAATATGTCGGAAAGACAAATCGGGGCACCCATTTCGAGCGGACAGAAATATTATGCGCGATGAATTTCGAACACGTCCAAAGAGAATGTCGGTCACATCTTAACGGGATTAACAAGAATTTCGAGTGAGCAAAATTCGGAGGTTCATTCAATGATCATTCCCCAATGTCACCACTTCGTTTCCACGAAGACGAAGACGCGTCGCATTCGCAATTCGTAATAGCAAGTGCACTCACTGGCGCGGCGAGACCCGAGATTTCTGGCTAAACATGTCTGCGATACTCTCGTAAACAGTGATAAGATAATACCTGGGTAATGCAGCTAACATCTAACGAGCCAACATCAACGGATCCGCGAAACTGAGTCCCAGACGAGCGACAACCTCGTCTTGCAACATTTCCCTCTCCTTGCCTTTGAACATCGCGCTGAAAGACGCGTGTCATCGGGCAACACAGCTCGTAATTCAGTGGAAAATAGGTTCAGTGGTTCAGATTTGGCTGTAGTCTCTTTGATCTAAAAATTGTGTCACTCTCGGTTTAGAATTTTGCTTATCGTAACTTAATATTCTATTTTATACTTCGTTATGGTTAGGTATATCTGATAAGACGTATATTTCTTGGGAATTATTATTCAAGGAAGGACGATGAAACATAGAAAACTGAATATTAATTTGAATTTAAAATTGACCGATAATTCAGAATCTATGTGAGATTAGTTTGAGATTCATTAATCTCCCAAAAATTACTAGAATGCACAAAATCGTAGGGCACCCCATATTTATTTTCCGTCATTCTGTCACTGAATTAGGAAAAATAGAAGCATCGTATCTAGGTATATAGTTAGGTAATCCAGTACTCCAAGAATCTAAAAAAGAAAAAGGAAAGATGATGTAGGATTTTCGCTAAATTAATGCCATGCAAACAGAGATCTGCACGTTTAATAAACAACCGCCTTTTAATAATAAAACAGGTTTATTTAACTAAAATATTACACTAAGTTTCTCTCAGTTCTAACTCTCAAATACAAGATCCTTTATTCGCTACGTCTCGACTACACACATTTTGATTTCTGCTTTCTGCGCCCTTGCACCCTTATTTAAAGTCTAACGCTCTCTCTTTGCATACGCAAGCTCCCTTCGTTGATCACTCATTTCTCACGCAACCTCGCCTTTGGTGGGCCAGGTACTTCAGAAACTCGGGCACATTCCTAGACTTTCGTTCATTGCTTGCACTCGACTCAATCATAAATATTCCAATTCTTGCACGCGGTCACTCATCCGTCCACACGCACTACAGGCATCGTCATAAACGCCTAAGTCAAAACCAATGGATTTATTAATCCTTTGCTAGAATCCTTCGCTGCTCGCAACCCCACAATAAATTCGTCATGACCTAGACCAAGTGATACACGTAATCGATCATTCTTCAGTCCACTTAGATTCTTCGATACCACTTTAGGTATTACCTCGATATGCCAAGAATGGGAAAAATAAAATTCGTCATGGCCAAGACCAACTGTCACGCGTGAGCGACCTGAGGCGTCGTAATGTTCGACAATAGACGTCCGCGCGTTGAACTACGCCGTTAACGGTAGCCTGTTTACAAAAGCCGCAGCTCGCGAAACCGCGACGCGTAGCAGATTATGAATGCACCCTTTGATCGCGTTTCGAGTGGTTCGCAGGCCAGCTCGAGTGCTTCGTAAACCTCCGCGTCGGCCGAACAACGCCGCGAGAAGACCAATTCCGCGTCGGGCTGGCTCGCTAGGAGCGGAGCGGAGCGGAGCGGAGCCCACTTGTGCCCTCCTCGCTCTTTTCCCTGCCACCGATAACGAACCGGAGCCCGCCTCTCGTCTTCGATCTCTGCGAGGCTTCGAGTGCATTGTATACCGAACGAGTCCTCCGGGAGTCCTCGAGAGACCTTCGAGAAGAAGCCGAAACTCGTGCTACCCGGAGATACTGCTCGCGCGGGAGGGATGACTCTTCTCGATCACCGTAAGCTGTTTCTTCTCGAGGGGAAATTGTGACCTGACGCGACGATGCAATCGATCTTCGATCGACCGAGGGGATGAACGGATTCGCTTCAGGAAATGTAGTCCGTGCTGCCGGCAGCTGCGAGGGGTTGTTTACCAGCGTTTAGTTGAATGCTCGCAGTAGCTGTATAATGACCGATGGTGTTCTTCTACGATCTACTAGGGAAAACCTATTGTGAATTTTTCTGAAGGGTGAAAGCAGCTCGATGAAACGAAGCTTTCTTTGGAAAATGTACTGTGGTATCGCAGGATGAGAATGTTATCTAGAGTGCGTGCGTAAGGACGAATGACCGTGCGCTAGGATCGTGTGGACGGGATGTTTATGAATGTATTGGATGAAAGTGAAGAGTGTCTTTAGGAATGCGTTTGAGTGTTTGGGCTACGTGACCCGCCGAGAGTAAGATTGCAAGGAGTGCGTGGGAAAGTGTGATTGGGAAAGAGAGAATAGGTATGAAAGAGGATAGAATGTATGGTTTTAAATAGGGATGCAAGGGCGTGAGTAGGTAGAGTGTGTAGTCTGTCGTAGTACGTGTAGTATATTAGAGTTCGTAGCAGAGAGTTGTGAAAAAAGGTGTTGTTAGCTGTATTCGTGTTGTTAGGTATAATTGTGTCGTTGTAGTTGTAAGAGTTTAGTTGATAGATTATATTCGTAGTCTTTACCGTCACCGCACATTGTATATTATATTTTATGGTAAATAAATAGTAATTATATTATTTAACACCACCCTATCTCTACAGTACATTTATGCAACGGGGTACTTCATCGTTTATATTCGTTATTTCGAAATTATTGCAGGCATGAAGACATTCGCATGCGACGTAAAATAATAATCGGAAGAATTATTAATTATCTTGTTGTAGTGAAAAGTAAATAGTAAAGTAAACTCTACATCCTAGACATGTGGGGGTGATACCTTGCCTTGCGTTTTGTCTTTTGTCTCTCTTTTTCTGGAGACGTCTCGTGACCTGCGTGGTTCTAAACAGGCTAGTCCTAACCGTTCACCCGCTTAATGAAGATCTATACAGTTTTCCCACCGTTTCCACTGACTACTATTTCTTTGCGTTATAACCCCTTAACATTGAAATATGAGAAAATTAAATTTCCATGTACCGTTGATGCATCTCGGGGTAAGATAGGTCTACGATGACTGTCTATTTAGCACGCTAGCACCACTATGATAAATATACTCTAAATAAATATCATACACATCGTTGGATTATTTTCTAATTCCACTAATAAAATCTTGCTACTTTCTTCTGTTTATGCGTCAATTTTTATCATTTCAGATGTCTCCATTTAATTCGGTTTCACGAAATAATAATCGGGAGTGAATCCCCCGCTAAGTTTAAGGGATGTAAGCGTTCGAATAATTTCATGTACGAGTGCATCTCGTTTTCTTGTCGAATAATCTTCCTCGCTACGATAGTTCTCGTTTTTCTTCACAGTTCCTCGTTAACCTAACTCTCCGTGTCATTTTACAATTATCGCAAGTTTACGAATAGAAGGTTATCGTTTCATCCTCGTCCAGCTATTAACTCTCGTCGCGGCCTTAAAGTCGACTTCCTACCTCTGAAGCGAATTAAATCGGGTTCGCGGAGAGATCCTTTTACGACTGTTTTCAAGAAGGAACACGCTGGGGGTGGTTGAAAGGGGGAAGGAGTAGCTCGGTAGTCGTCGGACCAAGTCAATTAAGATTAAGCGAGTATCGGGCAAACCGAGGGACCCCGGATAAGTAACTGGAGTGGCAGATAACGTAATTCATAAAACAATTTGGCAGTTAGGTTTATCGCGCTCTTAAATCAGGCTCCTCTCCCACCGCGTTGCACAGTCAGGGATTTCGCCGATGAGTTGGTCAGAATACGAAGACGTCATTCGATTTGTACAAGAATTAGTATCTTTGGATATTTGGGGTTGTTTATGTTGATGAATTAATTATACATATATTAAAAGAAAAATCGCT